GTGTGCTCTTCCGATCTGAGTCCAATATCTGCATCAAGCATACGTGGTGCATGTTGTACATGCTTGATTACAATAGCTACTCATATATTTGTACCATGCGGGCACTTATGTATTTGTAGTGATTGTGAGCAACGATTGGAAAATCATAAATGCCCGTTATGTCAAATGGAGTATATCCATTGTATTCGCGCTATTATGACATAATTTTACAAAGTTTCTGTTAATCCGATATGTAAATATGATTTTCTGATTTTTTTTCTCAGAGATGTCCTACAGATTTTATAAAATTAATCGCGAAACAATTGGAGTACAGAGAAATAATATATTTCTATAATTATTTTTTACATGCATATCTGTACACACACGTGTAGCATATATCTAAATGATTCATGGGACACTTACTCGTAGAAATGGAAGTGGATGTGAACTAGATGCGCATTCATAAGTAATATATTATTAGGAATTATATAGTTACGAATACGTGTAATTTCCAATAACGTATAATACTTATGCATTATTTAATTAATAAAAAATCCTGTGTTCTACGCAATTTGTCGGATTTCTCTTACTCATGTTATAAAAACAAGGGTATGTTCGTCTGGTATTCTCGCGCATGTTGATGCCGACCAAAATTGTCACTAAGCTTACGTCATGGCAAGGAGTGCGAGAGAGAAAGGTATATGAGTGATACCACGTGATATTTCGTCCTCTCTGTCCAGTTCCGAATGTGACGTAAGCTTTGTGACTGCGCAGTGATCTACCACCAAAAAAGCATATCCTTGTTTTTATACCATGCTCTTACTGAAAAGTTAATATTTGTATCTTAAGTAAATAAGACAATATGTTAAACGGATAAATATAAGTTACGTTCTACGAGATATTATTGTTTTACGAACAGCAATGTATCCGCGATTAGATTTGCACTTTAGCTTAATAGAGTAACGGATAACATACTTTTTTTTATAAATCTTTACGTTTAAAAAATAATATAATTTGATAAAAAAAAAAAAGATTTACATTTTCACTCAATTTAATTATTTTTTAAAAGTAAAATGAATTTTGCTTATGTGTCTGCGCTTTTACTATAGCCATTGTCATTATAGAATTTAAGATCATTATTATACCATACTTTATGTTTCACACATTTGCAATAAATTGTTTAAAGTTAAATCTGTAAGATTTTTTGTCTTATATATTCCCACACATTGAACAGCGTACTGAAGATTATAATGTTCTCATTACTTGTAATTACAGCTCAGATTGTTACTTCCCCGTAACGATAACAGTGTCATATATACAATAACAATAGTTTATGTTCTGACATCTTTCGCAGCTTTCAATTTTAGGGGGAGAGAGGAGAAACTATTAGCATTCTATATATCTATTCCCTCTCTAATCAACGATGATATTTTGAGTCCGAACACGCATTTTTTATCATGTGTGACAAACTCGTTACATAGATAGACAAAGCGCCGTTGT